TATAAAGGCCTTTATAAAACTTAAGCAAATTTTACGTTGAAAATCGTGTGAGAGGAAGTGACGTAGCTCAGTGTCAGCTTCTTCCGGTCTCTTTTCGTTGAGGCTCAGCTAACGGCCGGGTGGGTACACGTTTTGTACAGTAAATATTTTAAGCTTTTTCGCTATGTTGAACAGTTTATTGTGAATATAAGTGTTCTGTTTTGGTCATGTAAATAAGGAACCTCTTTGTTGTGCGACATTTACTAAGTTTTTAGACGTAAAAAAAGCCTAACCTTTTTTAACTTAACGTCAATCTTTCTTTGGCATGTGGCGAGGCCTTTCAAATCCCGCTAAGCTAACGGCTAACTACATTCATACACACAGCACAAGTTATTACCATAACCTGTACGAATAAGTCTTTAAATATAAATATATTCCTGAAAACACAACCTAATGAACTTGTATGTTTTTTTGTTTGTTTATTTTTAAATGAGAACTTCTTAAAACGGTGTGACAGTTCTAGTTAGTAGCAGCTATCGGCACTGAGACTTGATGCTAACTTTTAACTTTGTTTTTACAGCCTGCAAAGATGCAGATCTTTGTGAAAACATTAACGGGGAAAACCATCACCCTTGAGGTTGAACCCAGTGACACCATCGAAAATGTCAAGGCGAAAATTCAAGACAAGGAAGGTGAGTCTACATGAGATTGCAGGTATTTCTTTCATTAAAGCAGATTAAAGTTTTTGTGGATGGTATATTGTGAGAACATGCATACATACTGTATATATAGGGGGCTGTGTTTTTTCCTATGTATTTTCTGTATTTAAAGAAGTTCACAAATCGTAAAGGTGGTAAGATTAGTATGTAGAGCAGCTGTCGGTCATTCGTCAGTTGCTGTAAAGACAGTAACTCAGGTGGCCGTGCTTTTTGCAGGAATCCCTCCTGATCAGCAGCGTCTGATCTTCGCTGGAAAACAGCTTGAAGATGGACGCACACTGTCAGACTACAACATCCAGAAAGGTGAAACTTTTTAAAACAAGTTGTATGACATGATTAAACAGTTAGATTAAATGCCAAATAGTTTGCGGAGTGTTTCACACAATTATCTAAAGTTTCAATTTTGCACTGGGTTGGTTTTGTTAAAGATTCAAGATTCAAAGTGTTTATTGTCATATGTGCACAGATGAAAACATGTTTTCCCTGAGCAATGAAATTCTTACTTTGTCGTCCATTTTGAATGCTGAAACGAAATTAGATAAAAAGAAGATACTAAACTAAGGATAATAACATCAGAATGGAACAATATAATCATGACAACAAGAAGGGAACTGTACAATCTTTCTTTAAAGTGTAATGTGCAGCAGGTAACAGTCAATTGTTAGTGTGATTTATCCATGATGTGAGTTTTAAACAGTTCTGAAAATGTTTATGTGGATGCTTTACAATCTTGAGGCTAACGTCGCGTCTGTCCTGTTSATCAGAATCAACCCTTCATCTGGTTCTTCGTCTGCGCGGTGGCATCATTGAGCCCTCACTCAGACAGCTGGCCCAGAAGTACAACTGTGACAAGATGATCTGCCGCAAGTAAGTTCAGTCTGACGTGATTGGTCATGTGATTCCACCTATAACTGCTCTTAAAGAGGCATTTAAATTTAGGTAGTTRTAATTCTAGGGAAAATCTTGTTACCTTCTAATGAAGGTTTTATAAGTGCCTCTTTTGGTGTTTACATTTTAAAGGCTGTTATGTAAAGGAATCTTTAGGGAAGTATAGAGTTCATATTTAAACTTTGTTTTGGCTAAAATAATTGTTTCAAATCATTTCTATTATTGACACATGTCTATTGTAACAGTTAAGCTTCTTAGTTTCTGAAGTACTCAGATTAATTTTAATTACTTTCAGATGCAAAGACTTCAAACCATGCTTGCATTTAAATTTTACTCGCTTTGTTTTCCCAGATGCTATGCACGTCTGCACCCACGTGCCGTCAACTGCCGCAAGAAGAAATGCGGACACACCAACAATCTTCGCCCCAAGAAGAAGCTGAAGTAAACATCGTGGCTGCATTGGCTCTGTCTGCCATTATGTGTTGAAATAAATGTAAGAAAAGTTATCCTCCCAGTCTGGTTTTTATTATTTATAGGAGCAGAGATGTTTAATCAACTTCTTTAAAATGGTGACCAGATGACCTGCTGTACAATTCAACAGGTTCAATAAACTCCTTACTGTTTACAAAATGTTCTCAAATCAGGTTAAAGATGTCGGCACTCAGTTCACATCAGAGGTCTGTTCACTGACGTTTCTTGTAGCTGGCCTCAYCTAAAATGTAAATTTAAAAGTGTTCAGGCTTGAAACAAATCRTTTTAATTGTGTCCATAAGCAGGAGAAACGGAGTCCTTTGAATAACAAGTTTGTTTTTTCATCACAGAACACTTCACTTAGTGTGGCAGAGTTTTAATGTTAACATAGTTCAGTACAAATATAAGGAAATATCTCACATTGTCAAATCCCATAAAACAATCCACCCTTTAGATTTAGTAATCTGTCCAATATTAAACAAAACAAAAAAAAAACTTGAGACTAAAATGAACCATTTGAGGTATAAAAGTCGTACTTTAAAGATGGCACATAAACTGAGCTGATGAAATATGAGATGAATATCTGCTTCCTTCAGGCAGAGCTTGTTCCAGATCATGAGGCTTAAARGTGATAATGGTTCATCTTTAGTAAATGCTGCAACGGCTGATGTTTTAGCACAGAAAACAGTCAATATTCCAATTAAAGGAGCAATCCACCCATCAATACTAAAATGTGGTAAAGAAACTACCCCACCTACTTTAAAATGCTTTTCCACAAGAAAACTTGATCTAAATCTGCATTTTAAATTTAAATTTTTTGTGTTGTGGCATGTTCAGTTTTAAGAAAGCTCATCTGTGASTTGTACCAATAGAGGCCAATCCCTGTCCCCTATAATTTAATGTAGACTCAAACAGGAATAAGGCGACAGTGAAAAGTCATGGCATCAGACATGCTATGATTTTTTTTTCTAATCTAAAAAAGTAGTAATCTGTCAAAGCTGTAATAGAAAAACCACCATTAAACCTCTGATAATCTACGATTTGTATAATTTTTCAGGCATRTARGTTTGAAATATTGCTGATTTTCTGTCATGCAGTGGCTGATTCTGATCATCAGATGAGTTGTTTACCTGTAGGTGATGTAATGTAGTGTTTATGTGATCCAAAACAAGACAAAGCGTTCTTCCTCTTAAACTACYGGGAGCTGCTGAATAATGGGAATAAATGAAAGTTATTACATTAACTGGTTTAGAATCTCGACGTGATGCTTCTGCCTGTCACCGCTTCATCAGCTGCAAACAAACTGCCCATTATTTGTACCTATATTACTGTCATGAAGAAATCAATAGCTCATCAGGGCCTGAGGAGCGAGAATCGATAGATTCTGTGCATCCAACGTTCACATCTGAGTCTGACGGGACAAGTCAGACGAGTACCGGTTTACTGTTTCACTGCAGGTTGTTAAACTCCAGCAGCCTGAGCTGTCTGCAGAGCTCATGCAGTAAAACTGTAGTGATCCAAGCTTAAGGTTGTTTTTTCTGGAGATTTATAGTGTCGAGCAACAAAAATAAAAACCCACAGATTGACAAATGTAAACAAAACAGAACTTAGCACAAAGAGAGTGCAATTAAAAAAAAGTTCAACTGAACATCAAGGTGGTGACGTCAGGACTCCTTCAGGTATCCAGTACGAGTAGAATACAAAAAGAGCAGCTGTAGCTTTGAATGTTGCAGTATTTTTTTTTTTTTTTGGCTGCTAAACTTTTGCCCATTTCCCATCCTGACAGCGAGGAACTCCTCGGTGAACATGAATAATAGAAGAAGTGCTGAGAAAGAGCAGTTCTTGTCAGATAGAAACAGTTTTATGCTGGCGATTCTCAGAAGCTGGAGCTGGAGACGGTTGTTGTTGCATCTCTGAGTTTGCTGATGTTGGGGCTGGTGTGATGGCAGGGCCTGCTGACCAGCTGGAGCTCACTATAAGCAGGTTTTATTTATTTTATTTTTTTGTCATCGTGTGTCCAAAACCCTGACGACACTCCTGCTGGGTGCATCTCCACAGCGAATGAAGGTGGTTATGAAGCAAGGGTATTACTTGTAGAGCTTAACTTCATCAAACATTTCTAAAAAATGACAACAATAACACAAAAAACTAAATCTAAGTTTTTTTTTCTTCACAAAACATGAATTTTGGTTTATTTTTAAGTCTAAACTACACAGAAATTACATTTATTAAGTCACTGTTCTGTTACAAAACAGTCATTTCTACTGTTCAGACATGCCTGAGAAGCTGCGATTTATACATGTAGCTGCTGGAAAACACCAACGCCACCTCCGGTTTTTGTATTTATCCTCTGAAAAACATAAAACTGCAGCTGTAAATTTTTATATTTGCAAAAACGAAGCATTCATTTGCTACGAATTAATTCCCACCTTACTCTTTTTTAAACATGTTTTTATCTTGAAAATCATAAACTTGTTTTTGATGCGGTTYTGTAGAGTGCGTATGAGCAGTCAGTGTTTTACCTGCAGTAGACAACAAAAACTCAAACTGAGCAGTAACCATTCAAATTTTCAAACTCCGTATTTTCTGCAACTTTTAGCTTTTTAATCCACARGTTCTTTTACATAATTAAATATAATTATCACTTACTGCCAGGACACATTGTTTGGAATCAGTACAACTTTGTTTCATTTTTTTAATCCAAAAGAAACAAAGTGTTGTAAAGCGTGAATTGCAGGAGCTCAGGGTTGAACGTGAGGCAGTGATGATGAAGAAGGTTGGTGAGTGGATGTTTTAAAGGGAATGAAAAAGTGAAAACAAAGGTTTCCTAGATGCATGACTTTGGTTTAGGGTTCAAATCCCAGAGCCAACCTTTGTTCCTAACATCATCTGAGGGAAACATGACTCACATCCAGGAGATGGACGAGGCACTTAAAGCAAGAGGGGTTCATATCAAACCCTGCAGCTCCTCTTTGTAGCCTTCAGAACATCCAGAAACCAGCAGYACTTCATTGTTTGAACACATTCAGTCAGTTTGAGGAGATTCTAGAGTCCAAATKACTGATTGTATCAAAGTGCAGTTATCCAAATGTTTGCTGCAGGAGCTCCCATCCATCCAAACGAGCGCAGCTGAAAGACCAGACTGTCAAACAGGAAGTGGAGGAATCCAGGAGGCTGAGTTTGATCCAAACCAACCTGATGGTTTAGATTCTGGTTCATAGTTTCTCTAAACATTTTTACGTCTTTTGGGTTTTCTTCGCCTGTCTTCACAAGTTTACAGTTTGTCTCCGTTTCTGATCAGTATTTTACTTCTTAGTGTTTTATTAAATGTTCTTCTGTTACATTTGGACTCAGTGTTTCTTTGTTCTTGGTGGTCCACCTCAGGGTTAGGTCAGTCTGACTGAAGCTGTTATAGGAAACAGATTTTAAAGAAAAGCAGAACTGTTTTCTTCAGTTAAAGAAACACTTAAAGCTTTTTTTTACCAGAATACTAATCTTGTAAGTTATAAATCTTCCGTAAAACCAAACAAAAAAAAAAAAAAAAAAAAAAAAAAACGGTCAATAAAAGAAAAAAAAAAAAGCTCTTGCAGAAACCCAGAGTTCCGAAAAAAAAAAAAAAAAAAAAAAAAGAAGAACGGTCAATAAAAGTAAAAGAGAAGAGCTGCTGCAGGAACCCAGATGTCTGGACACATATAACGTTCTGTTTCAGGTGTAACATTTGAAAACAGAACAGRGTGAAAGAAAGAATATCAGCGGCTGTTGCAGCATAGAGATGTGGAGGTCCATCCATCATTCTTAAAGCTGGAATCACTCTGACTGCTGTCTACTGCAGGTAAGACACTGACGACTGATAACAACTCCAGTTAAAAACCATGCAATCGAGCTCATCTTAGCTCTTAGTTGTTCTTTGTCAAAGTGAGGGGAGATGGCACAGATATAAGGGCAAAATAAAGATAAAGAAAATAAAGAACAAAAAGGAGAAAGATAAAACTTGACTGATGCAGAAACAAGTTTTCAGACTGTATGGATMGACAGACCGCAGACAGAGCAGTGCACGTTCACCGTAAAAAAAGGATTATTTTTTTCACCTTTTTTTTTAAATAAATGAGGCCTTATATCAAAATTGTGAGTAAAAATATTGAGTTGCTGCAGCTCAGAAAAGTTAACACTTCACTTTTAATGCTTTCAGAAAGGTGAGTCGGGGGTGGCGGGTGATAAAAAAAAAACGTTTGCATGATTTGTTTTCCACGTAGCACCTTTAAGAGTTGTGTACCAYCTGCTGTTTATCTTCACTGATCCTAAAAAAAKAAAAAACYAAGCTGAAACTTGGGCGTGATTTCCACCGTATTGCTTTGATCGTTGCTCCGCTGCTGCACCGGTTGAACCCAGATCAAGCCCCGKGTGGAGGACGCCGACTGTGGAGATGCACCCCGGGGCTCCAGCTGCGGCTACTTATCGACCAGTTTGACTAAGCTCTCTCTCAGYCCTTTCAGGTCGCAGATTTTAATGTCTAGAACCTCAATGATCCGCCGTACTTCCCCCTCCGCCTGCTCCTGCTCCTCCTGGTTGGCGGCCAGCATTCTCTCAGCGCTCTGAACTCGACTCTCCAGCTCCGCGTTTCGTTTCTCCACATCCTGCGAACACATTATATGCACAGATGAGAGAGCGTTCATAAAGTAAAAATATATATATATACTATATCAATGAATAAATTCATGGTTTGATTGATCAAATGAAGCCGACCTGTACAGACGTGCAGGTTTTCACTAGAATCGGTTACTAAAAATATTACTCAAACATTTTCCAGTAAATGTGTAATTCTGTGTTTCTTCAAGTAAATCTGTATTCTATATACACCACACAGTAGATTAGAGGATAAATACCAAGGCTACAAAGGTTGAAAGTGATCATACATAATTTATGCCCGACAGCAACGGTAAGAATGATAGATGACCTAATAAAAACTAGGCATCAGATACAATCTCCCATGTTAATAAGGACATTTACTATAATTCTTGTTGCCCTTGAAGCTAAACTTTCWATCTTAGTATAATTATTTATCACTGTTGGTTTGAAGGGATGAACTCAGAGGGCAAAGTTGTGTGGAGGAAGAGCAACAACAGAGGTGAAGTAAAATCTTATTATGTGTTAAATCTATGTAAAGTACTGTAAGTGATGAGAATCTACAGCACCAAGTTTCTTTCCTGAAATCTTAAAAAATAACTTTGTTTTCTTAAAAAAACTGTCTTACAAAGCCTGTCTTGTGGTATTAATTTAAAAAAATCTATGACCACAAGATAATTTTGAGCAATCGTGCGTCTTTGTGGGAGATACGGACATGTTGGAGTCAGATTAAATATGAATAGTCTACACTGTTTTTGTTTTTCATGGTTTGAAGGTAGCCCARGCTTATTTTTATTATTATTTTATTTTTGGTGTATGTTTAATCCKAAGAGTATAACTTCATGATWCAAAATCTAAACCACGTGTGTCAAACTCYAGGCCTGTGGGCCAAATGTTGCCCTTCAGAACAGCAATGACCGTAAACTACATCTCCCATACTGCATGTCGATAATTTTACCCATGAAATGACAGCATCTTACCACTTCCTGGAAGGGCACATGGTTCAAAAGTAGCCCGCAAAATTCACCATGTAAATTTTTATTTAACTGCATTTTTGTTGGCTTCCCTTGCTGTGGCCCAGTTGTACTGAGAAGTGGGAATTTCCAACTTACATGTTCAGAATTCAAGACAACAGCTACTAACTACAACTTAGCAGTTAGTTTTAATAGTACTTTTATTGAATGAATGAATGAATGAATGAATGAATGAATGAATGAATGATACTTTATTGATCCCATGAAGGGAAATTACAGAAAAGACAATGTTGTCTGTCATACACATAGTACCATTCAGTGTTTATAAAAAGATGGGTTAAAACACTGTTTCTATGCAGGAAATACCACATAGAGCTCAGTTATTAGTTTCTTTCATAAGACAGTTCCGCAAAATCYGAGCACAGACCAGTCTGGCTTTACACTCCCTCGGGTTATTCATAAAATCACAGGAGAAYCCGGCCAGGTCCTGCCCACATGTACAAAATTTAGAAATGAAACCAGCAGCCGGAGCCAAAAGAGAGACCTCAGCTGGGCTGAAGACCACAACGTACTTATTGTGTGACAAATGTCTGTCTCGTATCAAACAAAACAAACTAATTAACTTACTTTAGGGATCCAGTGGTTCAATATTTTTCAAACTAACTACAAAGTTGCTGCTGTGTCATCTTTAATATTCTCTTGGTGATAAATCTGTTGATTAATCCAGCAGTCGCTCACTGACGTCTTCCTCGTGCGAAAAAACCCCTGAATTAACTAATTTTAGTGATTCTGTGGCGCAATATTTAAAAAAACTAAATACAAAATTTCTGTTTCCTGTGGTTTTTAATATTCCCTCTGTTGATTAATCCTGCAGTCGCTCGAGCTGATGTTTGTCTCGATCGTATCAAAGACACACACTCACAAAAAACCAACAGAATTTAAAGATTTTTCACAATCACGTGGTTCAATATTTTCTAAACTAACTACAAAGCTGTTGTTTCGTGTCATCTTTAATAGTCCCTCGYTAATAATAATTAATAATGAGCATTAATCAGCTTGTTGATTAATCCTGCGGTCGCTCAGCTCAAATCGTTTTCTGAGCGTGGAACCGCAGGTTGGTTTTTRACAAGTCGGTCAGCCCGGCTCTGATACCACCGCGCTTGGGGGCTCAGAGGGGCATCAGASGTGGGCTTATTTTACTCGCCTTTCKYACTTCGTGCTTTTTCTGAATGCTCATAGGAGGACAGAAGACACATCAGTCCCGGACTGAGCCGTCTTATGAATGAGGTTATAGTTTGTTAGCAGTGTTCAGCTGTAGCAATGAGACGAGGAACATGATGTTTAGTCAAAGTTTAMTACAAKTGGCTCTTTGAAGGCCACCATTAACACTCATGTGGCCCTCAGAAAACGTGTCTGACACCCCTGATCTAAATGGATCATTTTTCATAGAACTAGTATTTACAACAACACAGAATGAGTGTGTGACATAACTCTGACTCCCCCCCGCAGAAGTGGAATGTTGTGAGAGAGGTGCCTGTTTTGAGTGTTGAGCTTTAAAAAAATAAAGCTTTTTGGACAAATCCAACTCCAGTTGTCAGCTGTGTCTTACAGCTGCAGCTTTAAGAACGACTCCACACACAACCACAAGTGACTGAAGTGCATCATTCATTTCTATATTAAAATWAAATTAAATTYATTCAAACTTGTCCATGTTAGCAATCAACACTCTCTGCATTAAAATGACTGCAATAACTATCTCGTGGCCACGCATTAGTTTTTTAAAACCTCACACAGAGACAAACCTTTGTTTCCCAAATGCCTCCTAATTATCCACCTTAATTTTATCTGGTGACAATCAATTTCTTTTACTTCTTTCATCAATATCAATATTCGAAACCACAAGGTGACACTCTGAATGTCTCTCTTTAGTCTGAAAACAAACGTTTTGCAGCAAATTCTTACATTCAGTTATTAAATGTGAATGAATAGAGACTAAATAATAACGTGACTTGAAAATAACTCCAAACTGCAGCCAAAAAAAAAAAGCACTGAAAGTGGTTTTTTTCTCTAAATAAAAAAGCCCAAGAGGAAAAATGAAGTGCATAGAAACTTACCTGGAGTCTCTGCATGACCTCTTCRTTCTCCTTCTCCAGCTCGCCCACGTCTGTTTTCTTGCTCTGTAGATGCTGAATTTCCTGAAACACAATGATTCCGAATCGTTACGGCGCTGCCTCTCCCATTCTTCCACAGCCCCGTTATTAAGACCATTCAGCTCTTCTTTTGCAGCCGAACGCGTCGGCGCGTGCCCAGATGTGGTTCAAAAAAGGGGATCGAAGTCGGTGGAAATTTGTTCCCGATATCAGGATCTTGTCAGTAAAAGTGAACCCTGTTCAAACAAAGGAACAGATGTTGCGGTAATGAGACTGAAAGCTGCTGCTTTTAAGGAAAACTCCTCTTTGGAGGAGATTTCCACTGTTCTGTGCTGCACGTTGAGCCAAACACAAGATTATTTAAATTCCTTTTTCTTTTTTTACTGAACACGAGGAGCTCCAAACAACTTTTCTTGCTGCAGAAATAAATACCAGAGTGTGTCGCAAACGAGGGATTTATAAAATCAGTTAAAAAGAAAAAAGAAAGAGGAAAAACAGCAGCTAAAAGATCAATTTGAGGTCTCTGCTCACATAAAGAGCTGGGACATTCATTTCATCCTTTCGGCTCGTGTCCGCTTTGATTCTGCGGTGATTACCTTTTAGAGGAGACAAAAACAAGATTACTGAAGCAAGAAGGTTTCATTAAAAATAAACTAAAGCTGATTTAGAAAGAAATAACTCAAAATGACACTTTGCACCTGAACAAATCACAGCTTTACTGAAGATTTCTAGACTTTTTTTTTTTTTGTTTATTGTACTGCAGCTGAATATCAAACAGCAAATTAAGGCTTTACTGTAGATCCAACTGACTACCGGGGGTGTATGCTGTTATATAAAGAGGCAGCTTTGTTTTTTTTTCCCTCTTAGACTCCCTGTAATAAGAAGACAAATGGATCTGGACAGTTCTCAGTGCAGGGAGGGGACTTTTTGTGTCTTGCCTGGTCTTTGGCTCTCAGCAGGGCTTCCAGCTCCTCCAGTGACTCAGTCAGTTCCTCTTTACTTGTCTGACCCGCAGCTGGGTGTCCCAGCTGGGTCTCCAGCTCTGCCACCTGCAACACAAAAACACAACAAATACACACTCAGCGTTTACTGCAGGAATGCATATCGCCCGCCATCATTCATTATAGTAAGATGTTCTCATGGGCAAATAGCTTCATGGGATATCGCAAAATGTCCCACTGAAGTATGTGCTGTTAAACTGTCTACTAACACAACAAACTTTAGCTCAATGTCTGTCAAACTGATTGAGTTATAGACATTTTTGTCAGCTAGTTTTGATAAGCTTTTGTGGCCATCTTGAATGGGATTGAGCATAGAAGTCACTTAGTTGTAGATGTACATTCAACAAATAATTTCTTAAAGTTTCTTTTAAATCATCCAGTGATTCATGATATTTTGCTAACAGACAAATAGAATTTACACCTGATGCTAAAGTTTTAAGGGTATCTTGGGAAAGACGCCCCATTACTACCAGGCTAACTTTTAGCTCAATATCTGAAGAGAAAAAAAAAGAATTATAGCAACTTTTGTGTTTTCTGAGGTCAGTTTACTTTCACAGATGATTTTCTTTTATTTTCATTCAAATCTGTCCAGCAGTTCTCAAGATAATTTGGCAAAGTTTGCAAAGTTTTAAACAACTTACGAAATTTGGTTTATGTCTGAATTACTTATAAAAGTTAGATATTTGATCCATTTGTTAGCATTACAATATGAAAACGCCTAAAAGAGACTTCCAGTTGATTTTTTTTAATTCCATCTTCAACGTAGATGTTGGCGTAAGTCATSTAAAACATTATAATGTGACAGGGCCTTAACAGACAAACACAAAGCTTTTTGCCTTTTGGTGGCGATAATGTAAACATATCACAAAAAGTAAGGAAAATAGTGTTTGGTAGATTATTTATTTGTTTTAACAATGTTTCTTTACAATAAATCTTACCGTTGGACAGGGGTGTCACTAGGTTTTAAGGACATGGGGGGCTTAGCCCCCAGGAGACGCACAGAATTTTTGTATATTATATATTTGTATTGTGTGTGTGTGTGTGATAAATCTTACCGTTGGACAGGGGTGTCACAAGGTTTTAAGGACAAGGGGGGCTTAGCCCCCAGGAGACGCACAGAATTTTTGTATATTATATATTTGTATTGTGTGTGTGTGTGTGA